CCGGGGCTGGAGGGCGGCGCGGCCCCGCCCGGGAGGCTGCCCCGAATGCTCTGCGAATCCCACGCGGACTGTTTCTGTAGCCTCCCCAGCACCCTTGAATTTTTAAGGCAGAGAAAGAAACAATCAAATGTGAAAGCTGTGGGGCTTTGAGATGAGAAATAGATATTTTAGTTTTGTTTTGAAGTCACTTTTCTAAAGAATTGCTCTCAGAAAGTTAGTAGGAGTCAAGATGCTCCGTTGTGTATTTTATAGTTTTCTACCCACTCCAGTCGATTTTTGTTAATGCAACACACAAACTTTATTTAACAAAAGTAACAGTACCATCTGAGACCTGCTGTAGTAGAATAGATCTTAGAATAGACATTTTGGTTCCCTTTTGAATTTATCGATGGCCCAGATCAAGCCCCCTGTTCCAGGATCTACCTTGGTAAAAATTTCACCGTAGCTTCCATCGTTTTCCCAAATGTTATATGAAGTTGATGAGGCAACCTACTGTCGGGTTGTATTTATAGAGAAACTAAAACCGAATTTCTGTAAATGTCAAAATCTAAGTGTCTTTGGGACTCTTCTTGAAATTACCTGTAAGAGTCTATTTATTTTTCTTTTTATTAGGACGCTGTTTTACTTAAAAAACCAAACTAACAAAAACTAACCAGCTTGAATGCAGACAGTTAGTGGTATTATGAGCCTTGTGATTTCACACAGGTAGTGATCCTACTTCTTTATCTTGCAGAAATGTTTCCTCTAAAGACACCAAGTTGTGTGACTGCTTGCTGACCTTGGATGTGCACAGTGTACCCTAAGATGTAGATTTCAGGATGGCACGTGGGGCACACATGTTCGTGTCTCCCTCACCTTGTCATGCGGCATTTACAGTGAGGAAATAAAGCAGGAGTGAGGGCAAAACTCTACTGTGACTACAGGGAAGGAAGGCCATCAGTGAGGAGTGTATTTTGATGAATTTCTTGGAAACAAAAAGAAGACAGAACCACGTTATTGTAAATGCCAGAGCAAAGAAAGCAGAAGCCTAGAAGACAATTTGGAAGAAGGGAGTAGCACGGGGGGAGCCTTCTCTATGGCAGAGTCCCTGGGAGACCCTACATTTGTGTAGATAACAAGAAAACACAGTAGGGTATAAAGCAATAGCTGGGATAATTGAGTAAAGGACTATTTGTGAGCTACCTGCTGCAGGTAGTCCCTCCCACTGCATTCCTGTCCCCTTATATCAAAGCAATTAGGAGGCTGGAATTTGAGCTGCCTCCCTCTGCCACACCCACATACCCTAAAGGAAAGCATGTCACCCCCGCAGGGCTCACAGGCCTCTCAGCCTTGTTGGTCAGCAAAGGCTTACAAGCAAACACAGGAGCAGGGAAAACCTAGGACAGTGCTAAGTCGTTGGATCACTACAAACAGGAAGTCCACAGTCAAGATGAGAGATTAAAGAAGAACCCAGGGAGCTTTGGGGGTCGATGAACCTATTTTCAATCTTGGTAATGGTGGAAGTAACATGCCTGTTTACATTTAGCAAAAATCATCAAACCGAACATCTTAAAAGGATATATTTTACTGTCTGTGAAGCATGCCTCAATAAACCTGAACTTCAGAAAAGAAACACAAACCATGAAAGGAAAAAAGGCTAACGTCTTTCGCATCCAACTTGGTTAGCAGCAGTTCTGAAGAGTGTGCTTCTCTGACAGCAGGGAGTAGTGACAAACGGCCTGGTGCTGCTTCAGCAAAGCGTTCTGCTGATTGACTCAGGAGCCAGCGGGTTCTTGGTCCCAACACAGACCAAGAACACAGCAGGTCTAGGCATCCCAAAGGACCTATGATATGCCTACCTAGGAAGATATCCCTTCTGTCCCTAGGACAGACATCTGAAGGTGTCTTCCATCATCCTAGGATGTCTAGATAGGTGCTCAGTAAATGGGAACTAAATGTCATGAAAGCAAAAGTAAAACAAAAGAGGCTTCTTTTAAAAAGGAATAACCAGAAAATAAAGTATTAGCAAAAATTAAAAGTGTGACTGCTAAAATTTTTTTACCTATAACGGGATGAAAAATAAAATCAAGGAAACCTATCGAAATAATAAGCAAAAAGAAAGAAAAATATGAGAGAAAAGTTAAAATCATAAAGAATCAATAGAAGTCCTACCTAAAAGAAGTGTCAGGAGAGAACTGGAAAAAAAAGGGGAAAAAACCAGGAGAAAATCATTTAAAGAATAGTTGGATAATGGGTATATAAAAAGAATGAAATATTAACATATCCATGCTACAGCATGGTTGAAGCTTAAAAGTTTTAGGCTAAGAAAGAAACTAGACACAAAGGCCACATGTTCTGTAATTCCATTTATATGAAGTTCCCAGGATAAACAAAGCCATTGACACAGAAAGACTAGAGTTGGCCAGGGGGATGGGGAAAGGGAAAATGGAGAATTAGTGCCTGTTAATGGGTGTGGGGCCTACTTTGGGGGTGATAAAAATGTTCTAAAACTAGATATTGATGATGGTTGCACAACTGTGTGAATATACAAAAGCCAGTTCACTGTATGCTTCAGAAGGTGGAATTTTAGGTCGTATGAAGTAAACATTAATTTTTTAAAAGAATGAATAGGAGAAAATTTCCAGGCATGTAAAAATAATAATATTGCTTTAAGACTGAGTATTAAGCAGAGTACAGTATATAAATCCCCACTCCCAATTCCATTCTTATGGATTTAAACACTAAACAAAGAAAGTTGAAAAGCTCAAGGAAAAAAGACAGAAAAATTTGATATAAAACTCCTCATACTGCTAGAAGATAGAACAATGTCTTTCCACAGTTCTGTGTTAATATTTTATAGACCAAATTACAATAGAAAGTGAGACACCTAAGAAATTGCAACAACACCCTCAGTGTGCAATTAGTGAGGGACATGTTCCCGAACCTCCAGTGGATGTCTGAAACTGCAGACAGTGCCAAAACTTATATAGGGCTTTTCCCTTTATATACATACTTAGGATAAAATTTAATATATCAATTAGGGACAGGGGCTGGGGATTTAGCTCAGCAGCACAGTGCCTGCCTGGCAAGCACGAGGTCATGCGTTCAATTCCCGGTACTGAAAAAAAAACAAAATAAAATAAAATAAATTAGGGACAGTAAAAGATTAAGAATAACATAATAAAATAGAACAATTATAATAACTGTAGTAGAAGCAGTACTTTTGTCTTTTCATTTAAAAGAAGCACTTTACAGATTCTCTTTGGCATATCTGAATTGCAAGCATTATTACTCTTGTGCTTTGGGGCCATTATTAACTAAAATAAGGGTTACCTTGAACATAAGCACTGTGATACTTCAATAATTCATCTGCCAAAATGGCTACTAAAATATGAATGGGCAGGTAGAGAATATAGCATGGATACACCGGGCATGGGGATGAGTCACATCCTGGGGGAAGTGGCATAAGACAACACAGGATTTTATCATGCTACTCAGAATAGCATTCAATTTAAAACGTATGAGTTGTTTATTTTGAGGATTTTCCATTAATACTGTCAGACCACAGTTGACTGTGGCTAAGACAGACTGCTGTAACATGGTCTAAGAAAGAGCTTTGCATTCAGCAAACAGCATGGTTAAGAAGCTGATGGTTTAGGCCAGTGATGGCAAGCCTTTTAGAACTTTCAATGATACAAACAGCCCGCTGCAGCATGCGTGCCATAGGTTTGCCATCAGTGTAGGCATTAAAATGAAAAACACTTTACTCTCAACAAGAAAAATGGAAAACAACTACTTAGGATAAATTAATGGCTTAATGGCAACATTGAGGCGCTGTCTGTCTTTCCTCCCTGTCACCTAAGCACAGGCAGTGATCTCACTCACGATCCAGCATGGCTGCTGGCTCCAAGTATGTTTTTGCACAACAGTGTACAGCATCAGGAAAGAAATTAGTAGAGATGAAAAGACTAACATGATCTCCTTTATTTCTTTTGCCTTCAATCTATCCAGATATCCCCCTTTTCTTATAGTGCATGGGCTAGAATTAAATCACCTATTTTCCCCTAAACCAATCCAAAAGGAAGAGAATTTCAGTCACGAAAATTAGTGCACACCAATCCCATCACCTGGGGTGAGGCCCATTTCTCCCTGAACTAGGTCTGTGTTTCTTGATAAGGAAAAGAGCAGGCAATAATATGTCACCAAGCTGACCAACCAACTGACTAACCACCTACCACCCCTCGTAAGTCTGCCCATCTCTCTGT